CCTGGCCCAGACAGAGTCACATAATACGGTGGCTTATGGATAAGGACAAGTTTATTAGCCACTGGTCCACTGCACTGAGCAGCCCATGGCACGAAATATCGATCGAATGCAGGAACTTTGGGAACACCATTTTTTAGAACAGGGGGCCTGCAAAGATTCCAATATGTGCCAACTTTCTCCGTGACCTCTGCAGAGCCCGCCTCTAGAATCAAACGCGATACAGAGCACACTGTGGTAATCAGTCTCCAAAGACCTAACTTAACTGTTGATAAGGAACTTAATTCCATTATTCAGTCTTTTCCAGCTTGTCAGATGTTAGAGGGACAAGTTCATTCCACGGTGAGAATGGCTTACCAAGGCTGTAGTGTGCCATTACCACACTTAGAATACGGTCCCTTTTAAACTGCATTTTGAACAATCTGTATTGCTCCCAGGATGTAAGAGCCTTCAAAAAGCTCTTTTTTGAATGGTCTCTTTCACTTTAATTTTCTTTTTCTTCTTTCTCTAGGAAGCACTTACCTCCCAATAAGCACAGCAGATCACTCTGAGGGCCCTTCCAAGAGACCAGTGTCTGCCAGGCCGCCTCTTGCAAATCCTCCTAGGGTGGAGATTGGAGGATGGTTAGGGCCAGCCAGGAGCCAAAGAGAAAGAGAGAAAAAGAGAAGGAAGGTGTGAAGGGGACGAGGCGATAGAGACGAGAGAGATATAAGAGAGAGATGGTAGCAGGCAGTTAGGTGCGTGTTGCACACACAGAGAGAACAGGATGAACAGTATTTCTTTCTTTCCACAACTGGGTGGACTATGACTCTTTCTAACACCCAGAACTAAACTTAATTGTTCTTAGAAATTGCCTTCCTCCCAACCCAACAGATGGCATGGGTATGTTTGCTAGCACAGTAACATATTTCACCCTTAAATATACCAAAAAGAAAAAAAAAATCAACATGCTTGTTGGTTAGTGTAAATTCAGCGAAGTTGTTGGATATTTTGGGATACATACCAGAGGGATGCACACTTAGTTTATGTAAATCGTAACAAGCAACAGCCTGTGAATAAGAGTGTTGTGTGGCAATATACCTCCAAAGCCATCATCTTTTTTTTGAAAAGGTACAGAATGATGAAGTGGAAAGAGCTTGGTTTTAATTCTGAGCCAAAAAAAAAAAAAAGTCTAATATAATGCTGAGTATTCACTGCTCATTATTATAATATGAAAAGTACTAATCAGATTATGCCTAAAATTGGAATTAGGTACTTCATTTGCAGCCAATTTCACAAGGGCTGAATTTTACTAAGTAAACCGGAATGTGCTGAAACCATGGCAATCTGACTTTAGATAAAAATCACAAATAGGTTTAGAACATGAGCTCTGAACAAACAGTCCCCTTCAAATCCAAGGGAAACAACCAAACAGCTTAGAGGTCAGATTTTGTTTGACACCAAAATTAACGCTAGGTGGGGAACCTACGGCCTTCGGGCCACATGTGCCCTTCTGGATCCCAGAGTGCGGCCTTTTTGACTGAATCCAAATTTTACAGAACAAATCCTTTTATTAAAAGGTGCGCAGCAGAGAAAGATGAAGCTTTTCTTGCCTCCATTGGTGCTTAAAAAAGAACAATCTTGAAATCAGAAGGCCACAGGTCTCCCAGGAAGTCGATGTTGCCAGAGATGCTGTCGGTGAGCACATGCAGATTAAAGTGGAGGACGGAGATGATGATTCAAAGAATTTTTAGGTTTTAAAAAGCAGTTCGGCCTAAAAGATCTAGTGAATTCCTTTCATTTTGCCTTCACTCTGTTCCAGCAGACCCTCTGCAAGGCTGACTTGTTACTGAAAGGTAACCTGGAAGTTGAAATGTTTACACACTGGAGCAGTCCTTAGGTTTTTGTAGCTATTCGGGCTGCTCGGAGCCTAACACGGTTTAGGTTCTCGCGGCCATGGATCTAAATGCATGCGCTGCCCAAGGGCGGAAGCAGTTCTCCCGGCAGCTCTAGACAGCCTTAGAACCATGATCTGGAGCTAACTTCTGCCCTTCACCTTCAGGATTTTCACATTTACTAGCTGTAACAAGAGCGCAGATAGAGCAAGTAGATGTATTTTACATCTGTGGACTAACCGAAGGGATGATGTGAAACCAAGCCATTTTTGGCTGCATCCTCTCTGACTTCACTAGTGTAAGCTCTTTCTTGCTTTTGGCCAAGCTTGGCCTAATTATTGGCAGTTGAAGCTTTGTAAATCAGGGCTCCACAGAGCTGTCCTAAACTGTCCTAGGTGCTGTTTCCATCTGGCCTGACAGCTCTAAGCTACCGTTTCACCACCGTTTAACTCAGACCACATTTGGGGGCCTTCCTTACCTCCACTCTGTCATAGACCTACATCCGTCTGGTTTAAATCTACTGTCCTGGGTTGTCCTGTTGATTGGATTTAGACTCAGTACTGGCTTAAATAATTCTTTTCTGTCTCTGCTTTGGTTTACTATTTTCCTAGATAGGTATTGCTTTTCAAATGGTTATATATGGCTAAGACTTTTTTTTTTTTCTAAACCACATTCATCAGCACTGAGAAGCTTTAAAGTTTTATTAGTATCATAAAAACCCTTCCCAAATGCAACTACTTTTGATAAGTGTTCATTCTGACAATGAGAATTTGTTGAGGGCTGTTGGCAAGTTGGAGGAATTTTTTTTTTGAAACTAAAATTGGCAGGAAGTAATGACCCCAAGTGCTTTCTTTCTCTGGACTCCAGCCTCACCCCCTCAGTGTTCTCGTTTCTTGCCCCCACCCCAGTTCATACTCCCAACCCAAAGCCAATAAATAACAGACCTGGTTTCATACAGTTTTTCTGGGAACAAATTCAAATACTGAAGCAGACTTTCAACCTTCCAGCTTTTCTTAACTGTGGAGCAAAGACTGTCAAGTCAAAGAAAAAAATATATTTGTCAGCCACTTCATGATGAGATTTCTTGGTGATGTTATTACCTTCTACCTAAATAAGTTGAAGCTTTTATTGTAGTATGCAGTGTCAGATTGCTGTGAGCATCTTCGTAATTGAATGTCAAGATTCAACTCAGTTGCAAAAAATAAAGTAAAAAAAAGCATGATGCATGTAGCAAAAGACAAATCCTTATTTTTTCCATAATGCAAATATGCTGACAGACAAGACTGCCATGATCCAGATGTTATACAGTTTCTTATGTTTATTAAATGAGAAAATGCAGGTAGAGGACATAGAACCATGCTTAGCTAATGCTCAATTCAGTGAAAAACTGCCAATTAATTATTTTATAATACCTTGGAAATAATGCTAACGAGCAAGATGACACTACTGTTTGGAAATTCACCAGTATGCATTATGGTGGATCTCGGCTATGTTATAGCCATCTTGAATAAAGTCTAGATCTCAACCACCTATCAGATTTGATGACTTCTTTCAAATACTTGTTTCAAATACAGGAAATATGTAAATATAATAATGGTGCTCAGACTCTGAATCCATGTAACAGTTCCATAGCCCATTCAATTGTGTTCCCCTCAATGATAAAAATAAACTCAGGATCACGCCTGTAATCCTAGTACTCTGGGAGGCCGAGGCGGGCGGATTGCTCAAGGTCAGGAGTTCGAAACCAGCCTGAGCGAGACCCCGTCTCTACCAAAAATAGAAATAAATTAATTGACCAACTAAAAATATATAGAGAAAACATTAGCCGGGCATGATGGCGCATGCCTGTAGTCCCAGCTACTCGGGAGGCTGAGGCAGGAGGATCGCTTGAGCCCAGGAGTTTGAGGTTGCTGTGAGCTAGGCTGACGCCACGGCACTCACTCTAGCCTGGGCAACAAAGTGAGACTCTGTCTCAAAAAAAAAAAAA